TCAGAAAATCATTATAATTATCTTTTTTTTTCTTTCTTTTTTTTTGTCCCTGCAGTATGTATAAGATAATTTAGAATGATGAAGCTCTCCAGGTATTAAGCAGGTTTTTTTCAAGTGCATGACCTAGGATTTTATTAATGATCAGTTCTGACCCTTACACCTCCCCACAGACTCCTAGAGATAATGAGAAGAGCAGAGAATTATTGATCTAAACTAATGTGGCTTCCTTGTAGATCTTGAGTTTTTGTGTTAAACAAAATCAATCAATGTCAACTGAAAAGCCTGTTAATCATAATGTATGAACAACTTATACCAACTAACATATGATAGAAAACAATATTGCTACAGTAATTGGAAAAGCAATTAAATATTATTAAAACTTTAAAAAGTAAAATAAACAAAAAACAAACCACAGATTGATTTGTAACATAAATTGTCTGAACCCTTTGAATTAAGTTACCTGAGCTCCAGCTAGTCTAAATTTAAGAATTCTGGATATATCAGGATTGATCTCCTAGGATTTCTCATAGCAGCTAGTGGACATAAAAGTAACCAGTACTCAAATCCAGAGCATAAGAATCTTCTAATCACAGAATTCAGGTAAGCAAATTAACAACTGCCATCCTAATTTTTTCAAGCAATTAAACTACTCCTCTCATCACCTGTTTCTATTTTCTGGAGAAAATTGCAGTTTATTTTTTATCTATAAATATATATTGGACAGAAGTACTGGAATCTATTGCATATTTAAATGTTCATTCCACAGTTCTCAGGATGCTCTACTTGTACTCTATGAAACGCTTTGGCAAAACAAATCTTTCAGATATCCGCAATTTTTGTGAAAGAACACAAATCAGGGGTGCATTTGTACACAAATTGTTATCAAAGACATTTTTCACTCACTTTAAAATAAGTTTAAATTAGGAAATATACCATACAAAAATAGAGAATAATTGCTATCTTCCAATCTCTCACAGGCTCCAGCTTAAAAACTGACAAAGCTTGACCAACACACAGGGATTTTACTCTGGTAATAAACCAGATGCTATGTTGAAATAAAATATCAAAGTAACGTAAGTGAGGTAATTTCTATGGAATTTGATCTCAACAAAGGGACTAGGGAACGTTAGTAATAAATAATATAATATAATGAAAAGTGTAGGCAAACTACTGCCATAATACCACAGAACTGACATTCATGAATAAAAATTACATCACAACTAAACATATCAAATATACATTATGACTCTGTGGGTGTAGAAATGAAGCAATCAACACTAAATCAAGCTTTAAATCAGGGTGAATATTGATGCCATTTTTTCAGAATACATTAGCAATCTGCTATACTTAAAGACTGCTAGAAAAAAAAAAACACAAAGTAATTCAATCCTCTCCATCACAGGGAAACATTTCAAGAAAAATCTCTGTTCTTTACGCTCTGCTCAGACCAAGTCCTAAACACTGCATTTTCATTTCTATGAATTCCAGTTTTATCCATGTCACATTCACTGTCTTTCCTTTCTTAGGAAAAGACCTTAGGTGATGCAGCAGTTGAAAGCAGAGTAGACTTGGGTAATCAACTCAGGACTTACTCTAAGAGCTGTGTTGACAAGTGCAATCTCAGACAATGTTTGTGAGGTTTAAGAGCCCTTAAATTACTTACTCCTTCTGCTGAGAGAATTGACACTTGCATTTCATACCTCTAGGAAATATACTGCATACCTGAATATATTCTATTCTTCTCTCCACAGAACAGTGAACAAATGGTAGCTAGGTACAACACAATGCATTTTAAGGTTGTAAAAATTACCAGCTTTGGTACTGAATTTTCAATCCACTCTCTTGCCAGAAGCTGTAACACAATTGTTAGCTAACATTTTCTTGTTAGTAGGTTAGGAGGTCACACTTACTATGCCTGCTTCCTCCACAAATGACTTTGCATTAATTATTAAGGTCTAATTCTGCTATCTTTATTTTAAAAATAATATCATTAAAATCAAGGCTATATAAATAATAAATGAAAAGAACCAAGTTTTTGATTTTTTTTTTTCTTTTTGACAGCAGAAATGGAATCTCAAGTAGCAGCTATATTCTTAACATGCAGTATAATATAAATAAAGGAAAACTTGTGAAAGTACATTCCACATCCTATTTAAGAAAGCTCAGAGAATGATTTATTATTTTGTTGGGAAAATGGGATTATTTATTGTTAAAAAAATAAACACAAAAAAACCCACAAACAAACAAACAAACAACTCAAACAAACCATCAGTTATGTTAGTTGCTACTTTCCTAAACCAGCTGTATTTATCTTAATATCAGAGATGAAACTAGCTTTCCTTAATTTTCTGTTGCTTTCATGTCATGTTCAGAATAAAACATTAAGTAGTTTTGTCTAAAACATTTCATTCTAGGAATGAAAAGTCAGTATATACTCTTTAAACTACAGACCTGGTGGATTTACAGATGGACACTTGTCAGCCCATGGTCAATATGGATGCCAGGTTTACTTGCAAGTACAAGATTAGAGACATGATAAAGCGCTTACTTTTTGTCACTTATTGTGTTGATGGCATGTAAAACTATGTTTTTAATTTCTTCATGACAAAATCCTACAGATCACAGATTTGACTTTTCCCTTCTTTTTAATCTGGGAGTTTGATATACAGTTCTAGGTATCATTAACCTTTTTGAGCTCTGATGACAAAGCATCCCCAACAGCGTCCAGGAAAGCAAAGTAGCATGTCATACAGATCTTGTAGTAATCTTTCTTAGCAAAGGGCTCAACACCCTAACTATAAATGTTTCCCAAAATAATGAAGAACCATGTTATTAGGTCTTATTAGAACTATGTCATAGAATCATAGAATATCAGGTTGGAAGGTGACCTCAAGGATCATGTGGCCCAACCTTTCTAGGCAAAATCACAGTCTAGACAAAATGGCCCAGCATCCTGTCCATCTGAATCTTAAGTGTCCAACACTAGGGAATCCACCACTTCCCTGGGGAGATTATTTCAATGGCTGATTGTTCTCATTTTGAAAAATTATCATCTTGTGTCTAATTGGAATGTCCCCAGAAGTAACTTGTACCCATTATCCCTCGACTTTTTCATGTGATTCTTTGTCAGCTTAAAAAAAAATTAATTACAGTATTTAGACACAAATGTTAAGGGGAAGCTCTGTTTTTCAACTGATGAACTTCCCACTTATTTTTCAAATGTGGAGTACCACATAAAGACCCTTCCCTGATTACACCGCCTCTAACTACAGATCTTGTCATCCAGTTCTCTGTTTTTAAAAAATTTTTAAAAAATCAAGCACATTGACAGCAAAAAAGAATTTGAAAGAGACTTTCTTAATGAGCTCCCCAAAAAAATGAATAAAAAAGGAAAAAGTATTTTTAAATATCAGATTACCTCAAAGCTTCAATTCTCGGAAAATAAGCTAATATAGTAATTGGAGGATGAGGTGCAGTCATGTCTTCTTACTGGCACACACATTCCAGCTATCTAAGATTCATCTTAAGACACTCACAGGCCTATTAAGGCATGACAGAGAAACAGTGAGTACCAGACTTCTGGTTTATCTGATTTATCTTAGGCACTTAGGGTGAGATAAATTACTCTGAGAAAGTACCTTTTGTTTTCCACTGGGTATAAAGGAGAACTGGAGTTACTAACAACTAACTTGGGATACCAAAGTTACAGCAAATCAATCTCACCAAAGCTGGCTGAGGAAAAATTATGTTTCATTACCATCAGCTGGTGCAAAACTCTTTTTTTCCTTTTAGAACACTGTTGTTTTAAAATGGGAAACATATGTTGAATTTTTTTAATTGCTAGTAAGTATTTTTACTAAAGTTACAACTATAAATGACACAAAATAATTCTTTTCTTAAGCAATTAAATCGTATGATCTTACAATAAAACAGGAAAGAAGAATTACTGGATGTAGTATTATATTATGGAAGAGACAGCTAAGAAACTGCCTTACAGAGTACTAAAAACAGTGAAAGGAAAATGCAAAAATAGAATGTGCATGATGTTCTATATTTAGCTTTGTGGGTAGGCTCTGAAATTTCCTTTGAGCTGTCTTCTTTGATAATCACTGGTACGACCAAATTCTGAGGCAACAGTAGGGTGTTCTCAGCAATATTTTTATCTGTGGACTCAAACCAGCCAGTATTCAAAGGCAATCCAAGAATTTATTATAGTTCTATACATAAGCATCTTTTTACTTTTTTTCACTTTTGTCAACCGGGCCTAGATCAAAACATACAATTTTGCATCACTGTTTTCAATATGTCTCCAATTTCAATTTTAATATGAATGCCTTGCAAGTCAGACCTGTCTTGAAGTTTGTCCCATTGTTAACACAGCCCTAACAGAGAATTTCATTTGTCTCAAAAAATGATTTCAAAGTGAAACATTTTCATATCTCCCTGTATGTGAGCAGTTTTCCAGCTGCATGCTATCAGTGCATCTGCCGTGAATCATATAGAATTTCATTTAAAAGACAGGAGGAATGCTGGACACGTGAGGTATATTCAGATACTATATTCCAACTATAGGATCAGTGTTTTCTTCAACAGCAGTAAATATCACACATTAGCCCGCCAGTGGCATGAGACCCTTGAGGCTCTTTTGTAGCATTTCTTTCAATGTTATAAGGAATAAGAAGTAGGGAGGAAAATGGATGATGCCATTTCACTGCTAATCCTATCATCAGATGCAAAATATAACAGCACCATGCCCTTAATATTCAATTGCATATCAATCTAAAACAAAAGTAAAATTTCCAATTAAAAAAATCCAATTGAAATCTCTATACTATTAGTACGTAATACTCTTTTGGTCAGTTTCAATGGTATTGCCATTGCTAGTTGGGGCACATGAAAATTTCTTCTTTTTTGTTTGTTTGGGTTTTTTTATGAGACACTATCAGTTTACACCCCTTTTGTATAGGCAGAAACTGATTGAATAGATTTTTGCTTCTTACCATCAACACACGCTGGCCTTGCTCTTGTTGTACCGGCAATCTGTCCTTTTTTACATGCACAGCGAGCTGTTTGTCGGGCTATAGTCCTTCGGGGCTGACTGCTATCTCTGTCCAAAGTAACAATCTCACATGTACCTGCAGCCAGTTGACCTGGAAAAAAAACCAGCAACAGGTACCAGAGTCACTGAATGCACTACAGGCAATCTATTACAGCCAAATAGAGTCACAGCCCTAAGTCACAGCAGACACTCCACAACAAATGGGCAGCCAGCTGATGGATATAATAAAACCAAGATGATATACAATTTTTCTTTGTGGTGGACATACGAAACCCCTGCAAACTGGTTCTGTCAGAAAATGATTATTGTTCCATAAAAGCCAGAGAGTTGAGGTTACACAGGTTACTTTTACTTACACCGGCTAAGTAAAGGAACAATCTTTTACAGCAATGAAATTTAAATGGTGTGCTCTTTACATACTTTCAGAAAAGAAATTGTAAAGTATATGAAAAATAAAAACTTCCCCATACTTTCATGAACACAGTGAGGTCTTAACTGCTTTGTGTGTTGGTTTTGAAATAAAAAGTCTTTCAAAGCATGTCCATGCTTGCCAAACTGTCAGTCCTTTGATTTTTTCTTCACCTAAACTGAATTCTCTACATGACTCATATTTGATATAGTTGTTAGTTTCTCTTTTTTTTCTTTTAGCTTCTTTTTTTTTTTCTTTTACCAAATTTACTATTTAACTATTCTCCAAATTACTTCAATGACACGGCATCCTTAGCTCTGTAACTGCTTACTTTCTATTGACTTCTCTAACATATATATCTTTTCCTGAATATTAAGGAAATATAAACCACCTAATTCTGAATTTGAACCATGCTATGAGAGGCAAAACAAAAAGTATAAAAAATTATTGTATGACGAATATTAGTCTGAAGTAAATGCTATACATTTAAAGTTATGCACCCTGTGGTACAACCATAAACCATAAGACTAACTTTTACATGCAAGAATAACACATTATTGAATTATAGTCTGGAGAAAGATTGAAAAAACCTCCCAGCTATCACTTAGTATTACATGGAATTTCTGAGGGTTATGGTACAGTAATAAACATGTGCAACAGTATATCTGCAAATCACAATCTTGCTGTGTTTTGGTTTTGTTTTTGTTCTTGTTTTTTTTTTTTTAAATAAACTAAATGGACAAATGCAATATTCTTTTTAGAAAAAAATTACGGAGTTTAAAATATTAGTCACAGTATTTTCATGCAGTTGAAATACTGAAAAAACATCAATGAGACAAAAAGAAGAAATTATAAATCTGTAATAACATCAAAAACAAACAAATGAACAAACAAAACAAAACAAAACAAAACAAAACAAAACAAAACCAACCCAAAACATATATGAATCACCTTTTAGTCTAACAGTACAATACTATTTCTCTATACTGCATTTTTTTCATTCAGAATACAAGTTTACCCAGTCTATTCTTCTCAGAAGCAGCTTAAAATGATGCGTTTTACTGTGTGGAACAGCAAAATATTGTAGCTCTCCCTGCATATATGACATTTTCTGGTGATCGTGTCACAGGGTGCAAAGATTTCAAGTATACTGAGCACTGCAACATATTGTACGTCCCCTGTTAATTGGCTTTAGATGGCTGTAAAGCATGAGAAGTATTAGTTAAGGTTATGGAAGGCCACCTCCAGGGATGGAGTCATCCTGGTGTAAAGCACGTCCTCTCTGCCTTTCATTAGGTAGACGGTAAGTCTACAAGAGTACCTTCCTTAGGTAACATGTATGCCACTTCGGCTTCTTAACAGTTTAATCTGGAAACATAAGGTCCAAAATAATGGAACAAGATGAATATGCTTTTTGTAAGTACTGAGTTACAAAAATTAGGATACCTTTCATTTTCAGGGACATTAACATAGCTACCTCTTTCAAAGATATTAATGAAAAAAGGCTGCTCATCTGAGAGCCTTCGAACATGCTCCACTTCATTCCTGAGACCAGAAAAGAAATCTCGAGGCAGCAATGGGTAGGGTTTCACTGGAGTTTTTCCAGTTGAGAGATTAAGAGCCACAGTCTACAAACAGTCATAAAGACTCCATATTTTCATTATATTTTATGTACTTGCAGTAAACAAAGTAATTCACCACCTTCCAATTTGAACAAAATAATCTTGGTAGAAAAAAAGACAAGCATCATCAGAGAAATCAGAGCCACTCTAGCCTTGTCTAAAAGTTTTTTCCCCAAGAAAAAAAAAAATGACATTTTTCACTAGTATGAAGATTGCTGCAGAATTACCATAATCCAGTTTTCCCAGAAAATAAGTAGGTATTTCTTCATTGCTGCTATTTTTATGATATATACAAAAACATTTTATACTTGATAAATATCTATTTTATAATTTTAATCCAGTAATTAAGACCTCAGTGGCAATTTATTTGATTTTGTGTTGTCACCATCTGATAACTAAACAGAGAAAAGTTTCAGATTCTTTAATGCTCTTCTCTAAAGTTAAACTGCATTCTTACAATGCCAGCTTATGTCTCCTGTCTCTCTACCACCACAAACACAAATGTTTCTATATGGCATTATTTCAGGAAAAAGGAAAACCACATGATTTTGAATTAAAAATGCAAGTCAAAGTAAACCAAAATAAAAACAATGCACAAATGCTGAAATTTTAAATACACCAGGTTTGGGCTTTTGGCTTGTAGCGTGGAATTGTTTACAGTAATTCCTGTATAGAGCACCTCTTTAGATTTTTTCTAAATGAAGTGCAATTGTGATCAATCCTGAAAGTGCTCTTTGTGAGACTTCCATGGAAGTATGTAGGAATCAGTGAGTATAGGTTCATATATTCAGCAAATGTTCAGGATGTCTTAAGGTAAAACGATCATATTTTTAAAAGATCTTTAGTTCTTACATTCTTGAAATGAATTTGTTGTTGAAAAGTTTAAAAGTAAATGGCATTTTTCATGTTGATTACTAAGACCTCTCTGTCAACCATATGCCATTACTGAAAGAGAAATAACTTTGAAAGACTTTGATATTGTCTGTCATAGATAAAACCCTTAAATAGTAAATACATTTGTACTTAAGTACTTGGTATAATATTTTAATTTTCTGTAAATAAAAATATTTCTGTTCTCTAATAGAATAAAAAAATCTACATATTACACATTGACTAATGCAAGCATCACAGATTTTTTTTTTTAATTTATGCTTACTGAAAAGCTGAAGACTTTACCAAAAATTCAATTAGAGAAATAAAATCAAATTATGAACTAATGCTATCTGTGGGTACAATGAAAATGGGGCTTGATCTAAATATACAAGTCTTTCCAGAGGGTTAGATTTCATGCTCATCCATAAAATCTACTTTTGATTCGTACATGCAGGCTTATATTATAGTTTCAGTGAACAATTTTTCCATGCATCACCAATTTGATGCCTAGCAACACAAGCTCTTTTAGTTCAAAATGCATTAAGTTAGATGGTATTAAAATTCTTGGCTAGATTCAGATACTCTTTTGTCAGTGAACACAATGCAGGAGCTGTTTCGAAATCAGATCATAGGAATACATTCAGTAGTTTTCTATTACAATATTGAAGTCTTTGTGACAACAGAGCCATGCCAACTCCTGAGCAGAGCTTAGGACCAACAATTGCTACTGAAATAAAGGGAAACTTAAGTACTTAGTGTCATTCATTATTTGCAGTTTGACATCAACTTGAGTAACAAATATTTAAACATAATTCAATTTAAAATATAAAAAGCACATGTTTAAGTGGAATTTAAAATTTTTTGTTATATATCCTTCCTCGAAGAGAATGTCCTGCAAGAAGATATCTTACACTGAACACGATCCAATTTCAGACAGTCAGATTACCTTTTCTTTTCCAATTTTAGTTCAGAATGAGAGAGATTATGGCAAGGAATTGTTTTGCCTCAAAGAAGCATACTCAGTTTTAAGCTACAATAGCAAAATTTTTGGAAATTCAACTAGCATAAAATAAGAAAGATCAACTCCCACAGTCCTTCTGAAAAAAATGTATTTTATCTAAAGTAACGGAGTAGAATTGGCTCAGCCAGTATGGGGAAAAACTGTTCAAATGAATCAGCACAATTTGAGAAAAACTATCAAATAAGAACATTGTTTCAATTCTTACCTTATGTGATACAAGGGCATTTCAAATTTTTGATAGAATATATTCATGGAAATACACTCTTTCCCTTTCCTGTTGTTAAAGTCAAGGACGTTGAAAGCATTTGTTTCCAAAATCTTTAATATATCATTTAGGACCTTGTACCTTTTTATTGAAACAAATATTGTGGCTGTTAAGGTAAAAAAGCAATTTTTCATGCTAGTTGAGTTAGACAACCTGTTTAAAATAGTCTTTACCAGTTTTTCTCGAGAGTATGATTATGTTGTCAGTAGAAGAAGACAGAACCAATGTCACTGAAACAAAAAGTAACTAACTCAGAAAATCCTAATCTATTGCTGCAACCCACAGGTGCCCAGTAAAGTGAAAAACAGTACAATTTTTTCCAGAACTTTCCATACATTCACGTCATTACAGCTTCAGAGCTATATTCGATGAAAATCGACCTCTGTAGCTTCTCTGTCCTAAAGGGAGTGATTTTGGATTTTAGTGGTATAAAAGAAGAGAAACTGTCTCAAAAGGTGTGGTGTTAGTGCTCATTTTATGAAGGAAAACTCACTGTAGAATTCAACTAAGTAAAATTTATGAATAACAAAGGGAAAATATGATGAATTACTCCTCCTTTAAAGAGTTAGTTTAAATATTTTTCAGAGTTCCACTGCAATGAAACAGTACATTATGTCCTCCAGTAATTACTAATCTTATTGCAATTTTCAGACTACCACTTAGCCATCTCAAGCACATAAACAGCAGAGACATTAGGAGAATAGGAAAATAGTTTTCAGCTCTTCCATTCTGATATAAGCAGTAAATTTTAATTAAGATAGATCCTAATCTAAATAGTTGCCCAGGAAAGAAAATCAAGTCTGTGGAGATCCAAGATACATTCAGGGCCTATTTTGAAATTTCCTTTTTCCCAGATAAGACTAATGTCCTAATTTATTGCACCTGATACTGTTATTGCATG